AGTGAATGTCTGTTCAATTTGCTCACACTTTAATTTGTAGCACTTAATTAAGTGTAACAGAGCACTTCTGCCAGGGGCTTTTTGAACATCTATACTTAGCCTCTATGTTTATTTAGCTACTCCTGCATCTGGTTGGCACAACTTCTGTAGTAACAATGCTGCAAGGAACCCCTGTTGGCTGATAACTACCTGCTAAAGAACTGGGGAAAGATTTTGAAGCATGGAAGGTAAAAATAGCTAATATTGACTAAATCAGCTCTAACTTATCCTTAAAAGACTTGCAAGATTGGGAATCTGTTACCTCTAGCTCTGTTTCTCCACCATACCTCCCTTTTTCCTTTTATAGATGCTTAAACCTCTAATAGGAGTTTCCCTATTTGACATTAACTGTCATCCTCTCTTCATGCCCAGCTCAAAGAATCAGATGATACATTATGGTCCACATTAAGCAATGTAGGGAAGCAATGGAAAACCATATAGATCTTGATTCAGGCTTCCTCTGTATAGGTCCATCTGTATTACAACTTTTAAGCTGCATTAAAAAAAGAAACATGGGGCCAGATTTTCAAGTGTTTATATGACTTAATTTGCTCCTTTACAAATAAGCCACCATAAGAGCAGCTACTGTTATGTGCATCCATATTATAGAATTTTAAAATTATTTCATTGCTAAGACAGAGAACTCTGCAAGTATTTGTGAGTGTAGTGTAACAAGCATGTTTTACTTATGGCAAAGAAAATTATGGAGAGTATCCAAAAAGGAAATGGAATTATGCCATTTGAAAACATGGCTCTATCAATGTTTTTCCTGTATCTATAAGGCCTAATTGAATGTGCATCTTTTTTGGAAATAGAGGAATGAGTCCAGAAAGCCTAAAATCAATTTAAAATTTAAAGAAAGTTCCATTTTACAAATTGTGAGTATAGCACAGTGAAAAGTTCCACATTTCAAATAGGAAATTGGGTACTTTGCCTTAGCTTGATAGCTTTCAGGCAATTCATTCAAGTTAAAGATCTTTACTATATATAGTCTTGTACACAGTCTTTATACCAAGAGTGTCAAATATACAGTCCATGGCACGGATCCAATCAACAGAGTCCCATCATCTGGGCTGCTGTGCTGCCCACGGATCTTGGATTGGACCTACATGCACAGCACACCAGGCTGGCCCCATGCATTGAATGTGGGTCATGGGGACAGATCTGGCGCACACAGTATGGGAGCACAAAGCCAAATCTGGCATGCATGGCATGTGGTGCATGGAGCAGATCTGGTATGCATGGCATGTGGCACGTGGAGCTGAGTCTGGTTTGTGTGTGGCATGCAGCACACAAGGCTGGTCTAGGGCACTCAGGCACCCACATCAGACCAACCTTGGGTCCAGGATCCAGCACCAGGGGCTGATCTCGAGGCCCAATTTGGCCTATCAGCCAACTGTATGCTACTCATCCAGCTTGCTAACCTTATGTGTTTGACTTCCCTGTTCCATATGAAGGAGTTAAACAAAATAAAATGGTTCAGTGCACAAAATCTTGGAATATTGTCTTTTTATTCTTTCATTATATGAGCTCTAAACCTGTATTTTTTGGTAGCACTGAAGTAGCCATTATGGTCCAACAAGTAAATAAGAGGCCAGGACTTTTGTGGGTCATACCTTTTATTGAACTAAGTGCATGGTTGGGAAAGACTTAGACAGCTTTCAAATGCAATGCATTCTTTTTTAGGTCATCAGGTGAATGCATTCAAAAGCTTATCTAAGTCTTTCCTACTTGTGCACTACTTGGTCAAATAAAAGGTATCACCCACAAAAATTCTCATTTACAGTACATGGAAACCAATTTGGTCACATTCCCTGTATTGTAGGTATTAGTTTGTACAGACCTAGGGAAGGAAGGAAGAAGCTTAATATCTAGCAGGAAATAATAGCTATTTGAAATCACAAAAAAGCAGCTAACGTCAAGAATGGGAGAAGTAGACAATAGAAGCACTAATTTAGAAGCTAAGACAAGTCAGAGAGAGAGAAAGAAAAATGGACAAGATGCAAGCAAACAAATTGTTTGTATTCATAAAATGGCAACAAAGTGCTTCAATTGCATACATGAAGACAGAGAAGCTAGAAATGGCATTTAAGGATAACTGACATTTTTGTTGCATCGGAAGAATAAGAACATAAAAACGTAAGAATTGCCATTTACTGGGTCAGACCATAGGTCCATCTTGCCTAGTGTCCTGTGTCACACTGTGACAGAGAGCAGATGCTGAAAGGGAAGATGAACTGGGGTTTTGCACTGTTCCTCTCTCACTTTCAGCACCCAGCTGCAAAGGTCTAGGAAGTTCTGATTCAGAGGCTGTATACCTAACTCTCATTCGCAGTAGTTACTGACGCCCTTTTCCTCCAAGAATCTGTCCAATCACTTTTTGAATCTGGCTAAACTTTCAGCTTCCACAACACTGGGTGGCAGAGACTTCCACACTTTAATTACATACTGTGTGAAATCAAACTTCCTTTTCTTAGCTTTAAACTTACTACCTACTAGTTTCGTGTTATGACTCCCTAGTTCTTGTATTGCAAGATAGAATAAATAATAAATCCCTATTTACTTTCTCCTCACCATTTAGTATTTTGTAAATCCTTTTCATGTTCCTCCTCAGCATCTCTTTTCTAAACTGAATAAGCCTAGCCTCTTTAGTCTCTCCTCTTACAGAAGCCCTTCCAATCATCCTTGTTGCCCTTCTCTGTATCTTCTCTAGTTCTTCTCTCTCCTTTTTGAGGTTTGGGCACAGGAACTGGGGACAGTATTCAAGGTATGGACACACCATGGATTTATAAAGGGGCATAATAATATTGTAAATTTTGTTTAAAATTCCCTTCTTAATAATTCCTAAAATTTTGTTTGCCTTTTTGATGGCCACTGAGCACTGAACTGTTTTTAGTGAACTGCCCACAATGACTCCAAGATCCCTTTCCTATGTGGTTACAGCTAAGGTAGACTCCATCATAGTATAAGTATAATTTGGGTTATTTTTGCCCATGTGCATCACTTTACACTTATCTACATTGAATTTCATCTGACATTTAGTTGCCCATTCACTCAATAGTGCCAGATCCTTCTGTAGCTGTTCACAATCTCCCATTGTTTTTAACACTATGAATAATTTTGTTTCATCCGCAAATGTAGCCACCTCACTACTCACCCCATTTTCTAGATCATTTATATATTAAATAGCACCAGTCCCAAGACAGAGCCCACCCTGGGGGACTCCACTGTTTACATCTTTGTATCCTGAAAACTGACTAGTTATACTCATTCTTTGCCTTCTATCTTTAATTTCTAATTCACAAGTGGATGTTCCCTGTAATCCCATGACTCCCTTAGTTAAGAATATGAGAACTGTGTGAGAATTGGTGAGAATAAGATTTTGTTTAATAAATGCAGCATTTTAGCTACCCTGGAGAGGTGAAGAATGGTGAGATCAGAGAGAAATGACACAAGCGGTAAATGGAAGGGACGTGGCCAGCATATATCACAGTGCTATCGATCAGGACAGAGGAGAAGAGAAAGCAGAATTTAGGCATGCTATAGACGACAAAGCAGATCAGAAATCAAAAGAAAGATTGCAAAGACCTCAAATGTTAGGGTTTTACAAAGGTGTCAAAAGTGATAGATTCCAAGATCCTGAGTCTCAAAGATGGAGTGGACAGAGCAATTGAAAGTGAGAGCAGCCAAAAATAAGTAAAGAAAAAAGGCATGCTTATGTCATCTGTTACAACAAGAGTAATTCCATTACAGAAAAGTCACCTTTGAGACTGCTTTCATTCAATATAGATAAGTGCAGTAAATGTAACTACTCCAGATTTTTACCAACACTCTTCAAATCAGATTCTAGTCAAGAATCAAAAAATGAGGCAAAAATATCCACTCCTTTTCTGATATCAGGCATAGGGCAGGGTGGCACCTTGGAGACTTGTTCAGAAAGGTTTAAGCTTTTGTAGTAACTGCTATTTTTAAGGGCTGGACCCAGCTGAGCAAATGTGCTTAATTTGAAACACAAGAATAGTATCACTGGTTTCAAGTTACTTTAAGCCCTGCTACAAAGCACAGAATTTAAGCACATGCCTAATCTCAAGCATGGGAATACTCCCATGAAAATGAATCAGAAGACTCATTTTAAGTTAAGACTTTATTTTGCATTTAGCTACAGCAGTAGATTTTCCCTATATATATGGCATTTTGAGGCCACCTCAAGGTCGTTAACCAGCATGTCTCAGAACACAAATGTTCAAATACAATTTTAAAATACAAACATCCTCCACATTTAGAAGTAAAGGCAGGATCCCTGTTAATCAAAGGAACAGACAAAAAGCATTTGCATTTTTCCTCACGGGCTGTGTCCAGACAACCACGGCTGTGGTATGTGGTGTTGCAGACACATCTGCAGCACCATATACTGCACGTTCAGCTGTTCTCTGCACTTCAAGGGAGCAACGCAGCGGGGGTTTTTGACTCCTTGATATCATAGATTCATAGATTCTAGAGTCGGAAGAGACCTCAGTGGGCCAACTAGTCCAACCTCCTGCCCTGGCAGGCAAGAAAAGGGTCACCAAACCTGGGATCATGCCCAGGGCTCAAAAAAACCTGTGGAAAAAAAAAGTGGGGGTAGTATGCACTGCTCAAAACCAGAGCCTGGCTAGCCAGAGCCACACTCCAGTTGCCAGCCATGCTCCAAGCAGCAGGATCACTGCCCCAGAAGGCCCCAGGAGCCCAGGTAAGGCTGCTGGGGCCAGCCCAGTGCTGGTCCCAGCCTCCTCTACCCTACCCAGGATAACCTGCCACATGCCAGAGCACGTGTGGTACAGGTGTTTCCCAGGGACAACTAGTGGCTGCACGAGGTGTGCCACTGCTAGTTGTCCCGGGGGAACCACACATCCACCCTCGTATGGACACAGCCCAAAGTGTTAGAATGACCCTGTGCCTGTCAGGGAAGTCAAAGAGAATGTGTACTTCCAAAATGAGCAAGAAGACATTAAAATGTGTAAGCAGATGCAACTGCTCATGCTGAAAAGTAATCTTAAAATTGATTGAAATTCCTGCTTTTAGTCCAAGATGATTCCACTGTGGTGAGCCCTGAATGAGTTGACAGAGTTCTAGTCCAAAAGCACCTAATTCCATATTTACTCCAAGAGAAGAATACTCTTTGAACCACATACCCTATTTTCTGTTCCATCTGGATTTTCATCTGAATATATATCTAGGCCCATCAGGATCAGCTAAAGTAGATCCTTGAATATATTCAGCATCTTATCCACTTCATGAAAATCAGGACCCTTGTTTGATGCTGTTCATCTGCAGCAGCAAAAGAAGGTAGCAGTGTGAAGCAGTTACCTTGTGAAGTGGCTTTGTGAGTGGAATCATTAACAGGAGCATGAATACAAGCATAACTCTCTGCTCTATAAATAAAAGAGAGAACTGGAACTAGATAGTGGCCAAGTACCGAACCATATCAAATCACTCTCTGATTGCCTTCTCCTCCAGTTCCTTCAAAACTTGAACCTTATGATCCTGTCTAGGGCATAAGCTGACTATTCTTGACAGTGGCACCCTCAAACATGTCATGATGTTTTATGTATGCTATCTCCTCCATCCAGAAGCAGCTGGAGAAGGTAGTCACATCTTTGTGGTGTCCAGGCTGAACTAACTGATTCTACAGAATGACAATGTCAATTGTTACTCAACCACTGCCATATCTAGTCAGTTTGTGGTCTAGACATGGTGTCAGATGTTCAGAATGCAGTGATGCCTTTTCTCAAATTTTAGTAAGAAAAAATATCTTACAAATCTGAAGTGGAGTAAGCAACTAATAATAGAAGAAAATTAGGAGGAAAAAGCATGACAGACTCAGCAATTCTTAGCCATTTGAGACTTTTTAAAATGTAAAATAAATTCTAATATACCAGATCTTCCTTCTTGCTTTCCATTTAGTGCTTCAAGCATCTGTTCTAACAGGGTGCACACTTCAAGGTCTGGCACAGAATGGTATTTAGCAGCCAAGACAAAGGCCTGCATGTTGACCAACTTTTGAGTCTTTTCACAGAATACAGTGGAAAATTCGCAATCATCTGTATGGAAAGTAGAAGAAAAAAATGACATATTAATAATTAGGGCTGTCAATTAATCGCAGTTAATGCATACAATTAATGTGTTCATTGGTTCTCATGTAAATTTTTTTAACATGTTAATTGTGCATATTTCTTTGGAGCCCATGTTTGGGATTTGCTCCACAATCATCACCACTGCCTCCAGGCCATCTAGCGGGGCAGTGCACGAGCCACAGAGCAACCTGGGAGGGGGCTCCGGGTGCCTGCAGCACAGGGAGGGTGGGAAGAGGGGGGTACGCACACAGACACAAACACAGACAAACACAAGCAGCCGCAGCCTGCCTGTGGCCAGGAACGCAGCTGGTGGAATGTAGAGCAGTACTCTGCAGGTAACTCTGTGGAGGAGAAGGAGGGGAGGGAGTGAGGGGTGGGGCAAGGCGGGGCAGATCAAGGGCTCCCAGCCCCTGCCACTTCCCCACTTCCTTACTCAATGTGAGGGGTCTCGATCTGCTCCCCTGCTCCTTCCCCCCATGGACTTACCCACTAGGTGGGGGGTGTGTGTGTGTGTGTGTGTGTGTGTGTGTGTGTGTGTGTGTGTGTGTCCCACACTCCCAAGCCATAGCCTCCCCAGCCCTGCTGCTGCCCCTCACTCCTGACCCATAGTACCCTGCATCCTGCCAGGGCACATAGGGACCTCCCTCCCTAGGCTCCAAACCCCACACACACACTTACAGCTCCACACCTTCACAAATTCCCCTCCCCCTCACACCCCAACGATGTAAAGTACCTGCATAATTTTGCATAACTTTGAGTTTTTCTGCACATAATTTTGAGTTTTTAGCTGTGCGATTAAAATCACAATTAATTGCAACTAATTTTTTTAATCACGCACTTAATTGAGATCAATTTTTTAAAATCGTTTGACAGCCCTATTAGTAATCAACGACTTTGAAAAGGCTCTCCTGTGCTAGATTGGCAAATTTTGTATTTCCTCAAATGTAAGATGAACCTGATTGTAAGACAACTCTCCCCCCCAATAATTAGATTCTATATATAGAAAATGTATAAATTTGTTATAATTTTCCAGGTATAGAATCTAATTATTGGAGGTTTTCCTTGATTTTGTCCCCCTCCTACTGCTACAGTCCCCTTTGCCCTCTGCCCTCCCCCCCACAACTTCTTTCCCCTGCAGCTCCCTCCTTACCATCAAACCCTGTTCTCCCCGAGGACATGGAAGTGAGAAGCAAATTTGAAAACACTGACCTAGAAATAAATATACCTGCAGTAACTTGCACACCAGACAATTTCTATAGATACCCATAGACTTAGATCATCCAAAATATATGCAGTTTACTTCTTTTGAAACTGCTGCAAGTTTTAGCTCAGGTACTCCATAAACACACTAAAGTCACACCTCTTTACTTACTTGCACATATTACCTTTAAAAAAAAATCTTGTTCAAGACTAAATCAGTTCCAAATTCAGTTGGACAAAGCCCAATATTCAAGTTCCAAAATTCGATTGAGCAGACCTCAATTGTTGAGTCTGTGTGGCTGTGCCACTGGGTAAGTATTCTCCCTAACAAAACCATCCATCTGGGGCTTTGGATGCTCCCCAAATCCAGAGACACATCCTACATGTAAGCCCCAGGCCTGGAGGCCTTGGAGGTCAGATGCTCCCAGTTTCACTTGATTTTGGCCAAAAGGTCAAGATCTATTACAACCTGTGTATGACATTAGTCCAAAGCCAAAATCATTGTTTACCATAAAGTTCACTGCGCTGGGTCCCAGCAGAGACAACAGTGTCCCAGCAGTGTCTTGAGTCATGGTGAACCCACACCTCAGCACTGCTAAGTATGTGTATATATACTCCAGGTACCCCTTCTGGAGTGTACCCCCTTCCATAGAAAGATGAATGGAAAAGTACGTCCAAAGGGGAATGTCAGTATAGAAAGTAAAGGACAAATATAGTATCTGCACAGGGTCTTGGAGGGCACAAGTAGGTGCGTGGGTCTAGAGCAGCACACTGTCAGCCCTTCGTGGAAGCCGTACACAGTGTGCACCCGCTTTGCTCCTGCCCTCTGCACAGATCTAGGGGGGGCAGACCCCCCTGCTCCCCAGGAGTGTGCGCTGCCCCTGGAAAACGGTCCCACCCCCTGCTCGAGCCTGCAGCAGGCAGCAGCAGTGGGAGCGCCGGCTTTGTGCTCCTTCTGCTGCAGCAGCCGCTGCCTTCTGTTGGGAGCAGGGAGCTCCAGACCTGGCTCACTGGCCCCATACCCTGGCAGCTGGGGACCCCCTCCAGCAGGGTTGGGGGGCAGGGGCTGTGGGTGGGGGGCAAGGGGCACAAGCAGGGCTGGGGGGCTGTCGGGGGGGAGTGAGGGGCATGAGCAGGGCTGGGGAGCTGTTGTGGGGGGAGTGAGGGGCACGAACAAGGGGGGGGCTGTGGGAGGCCTTTAATTTTAATCATGGATTTGGGGGGTTTTATCAGAGAATTTGCAATTTTTTTTATCAGGGAAAACCAGGATCTCTGGTAATAGCAAACATTAAGAAGTATGAAAGAACTTTTACTATTTTTCAAAACTGGAAAATTAAATATATACCTTCAAATTTTAATTATCCTTACAGAATTTAGGCCTGGTTCTTTTCTCAGTCAAGCAACTGTATATTGGAGGAAAAAAGTGTCTTCAATATAGGCTCCTCCATTGCTCAGGACTGCAGGGGGACTGTTAGGAAGGCTAAGGCAGAGATGGAACTGGGACTAGCATCCTGGATCAAGGATAACAAGAAGTCCTTTTTTAAAAACATAGGAAGTAAAAAGAAGGTACTGGGTAACATAGGGCCTCTGCAGGATACGCTAGGAAATCTAGTGGTCACACCAGTGTCACAACCCAGTTAATCAGTGCCCATGCCACTAGCAAGAGACACCGTTCAGACCAACCTCACCTCGCACACAGTAGTCAACTAAGGGTTAAAAGAAATCCTTGCCAGAAACTCCTGAAACAAAATCCTGGCGGAGAACTGTAAGTAATTGGTCAGCTGAAATAAAATCCGAGTGAAAACTGTATATAATTGGTCAAGAAACAAGCGTTAGCCCCTCACACGTAACCTGATACGTAACAGGCAGGAAACCTGACCCACTACCTTGTAACCTGATAACACAAAGAACTGTCGCTTTGCCAAAAAATTAAAGATTCCACTTAGCAGCCCATGATTGGATATCTCCGTTAGTTACCTCTGTCTATAAATAGTTTAGGAACTTCCGCCTAAGGCGAAGAACTCTGGGGGAATCTCTGAGGAGAAACCTGAGCCCATCACCAGAGTGACTTAGCGGTCTGATCAATCACTAATGACTCCCCGTCATTGTAACACCTGACGTAGTAAAGCCCTGCAGGCACGATAGCTCGCTCCGGCGCCACGTCCGTCATTGCTGAACTGTAACCCGACCTCGTACGCTCGACTGTAACCGAAGCAACTATAACGGAACAAAGGCTCAGCCTGTGTCGCACGTCACTATCTGGGCGACGTAAGTAAACAATCTCCTGTAACCAACACGCGTCTGTGCCTGGTTAATTTCACTCCATCCATTAATTACCCACCTGTCAAGGTGAAAGTTTTACTGTTCCGGTGGGTATCAGAACGCAGCTGCCGGCAGCTGCTCTGATCCCCGACAACCAGATGACAAAGTTAACATCTTTAACAATTTCTTTGTCTCCATCTTTTCGAGCAGGTACCGGGGCATCCCCCCCCACTGTGATCCCTGATGGACCCAGGGGAGGTGCTGCCAGGCCCAGAGTCAGTGAGGAGCTAGTCAGGGAACTTCTGGTGGGACTAGACATGTTCAAATCAGCAGGTCCTGACGATCTCCACCACAGAGTGCTGAGGGAATTAGCATAGGTCATTGCGGGACCCCCAGCACAGCTTTACGAACACTCATGGTGCTCTGGCAAGGTGTCGGAGGACTGGAAAAGGGCCAATGTGGTCCTCATTTTCAAAAAAGGGAGGAAGGAGGACCCAGGAAACTGCAGGCCCGTTAGTCTTACCTCGGTCCTGGGGCAGCTTTTTGAGAAAATTATCCAGGAGCACATCTGCAAGGGACCAGCTGGGGAGATTATGCTTAGGGGCAACCAACATGGGTTCATTCAAGGGAGGTCTTGTCAGACCAACCTGGTGGCCTTCTACGACCAGGTCACAAAATCCTTGGATGCAGGTGTCACGGTGGACATAGTCTTTCTGGACTTTAGGAAGGTATTTCGACACTGTCTCTCACTCCATTCTCATCAAGAAATTAGATGACTGTGGCGCCGATGCCTACACAATCAGATGGGTCAAAAATTGGCTGGAGGGTCACACTTAAAGAGTGGTGGTGTATGGGTCATTTTCGACATGGAGGGATGTGGGCAGTGAGGTCCCCCAGGGCTTGGTCCTCGGGCCTGCACTGTTCAACATCTTCATCAGCGACTTGGATGAGGGGGTGAAAGGCACCCTGTTCATATTCACAGATGACACTAAGATGTGGGGAGAAGTGGGCACGCTGGAGGAGAGGAACAGGCTGCAACTAGATCTAGACAGGTTACAGGGGTGGGCAGATGAGACCAGGATGCGATTTGCAGGGTACTGCACCTAGGGAAGAAGAACCAGCAGTATACCTACAGGCTGGCGAACTCCCTTCTAGTCAGCAGAGATGCAGAAAAGGATCTTGGTGTCATTACTGATTCCAAGTTGAACATGGGCTGCCAATGTGAGGACGCGGTCAGGAAGGCTAACTGCACCTTGTTATCATCCACAGATACATCACGAGCAGGTCCAAGGAGGTGATCCTCCCCCTCTATGCGACACTGGTCAGGCCACAGTTGGAGTAGTGTGTCCAGTTCTGGGTGCCGCACTTCAGGAGGGATGTGGACAGCATCGAGAGGGTCCAGAGGGCCACTTGCATGATTGGGGGGCAGCAAGGCAGGCCCTACGAGCGGAGGCTATGGGACCTGAACCTGGTCAGCCTCCATAAGAGAAGGCTGAGGGG